CTTGAACACCTCCAGGGATGGGGCAGCCACAGCTTCTCTGGGCAACCTGCGCCAGGGGCTCAACACCCTCACAGTAAGGGATTTCTTCCTAATACCTAATCTAAATCTCCCCTCTTCCAGTTTGAAGCCATTACCCCTCATCCTATCACTACACGCCCTTGTAAAAAATCCCTCTCTCCAGCCTTTTTGTAGGCTCCCTTCAGATATTGGAAGGCGCTCTAAGGTCCCCCTAGAGCCTTCTCTTCTCCAGGCTGAACAACCCCGACTCTCTCAGCCTGTCCTCACAGCATAGGGCCTCCAGCCCTCACAGCATCTTCATGGCCTCCTCTGGCCCCACTCCAACAGGTCCAAGTCTTTCTTATGGTGAGGGCCCCAGGGCTGGAGGCAGCACTGCAGTGGGGTCTCACCAGAGCAAAGGGGCAGAATCCCCTCCCTCCCCCTGCTGGCCACACTGCTGGGGATGCAGCCCAGGATGTGGGTGGCTTTCTGGGCTGCCAGCGCACATTGCTGGTGCATGGTGAGCTTCTCATCAACAAACACCCTGAGTCCTTCTCCTCAGGGCTGCTCTCAATCCATTCTCTGCCCAGCCTGGATTTGTGCTTGGGATTGCTCCAACCCACGTGCAGGACCTTGCACTTGGCCTTGTTCACCTTCATGAGGTTTGCACAGGCCCACCTCTCCAGCCTGTCCAGGTCCCTTTGGATGGCATCCCACCCCTCCAGCATGTTGACTGCTCCACACAGCTTGGTGTCATTCACAAACTTGCTGAGGGTGCACTCCATCCCAATATCCATGTCACCGACAAAGATATTAAACAGCACTGGTCCCAGTACCAACCCCTGAGGCACACCACATGTCACTGCTTGCCATTTGGACCTGGAGCCGTTGACCGCAACTCCTTGAGTGCGACTGTCCATTCAAATGAGGGATGTGTGCCCAGGGCACCTCACCGGGAAGCACATGTGGCAGAGCATCCCTAAGCAGAGGTGGTACAGTCATTTTGCCACTGACAGCCTCTAGACGAGGCCAGAACCTCCCAATCTTCCAGAGAGTTATTACAGGTACTACTGTATGCATGAACTACAGAACTCCTCTGAAAAAAAGAAAGACACTAGAAGAGGAGAGAGCTCGAGGGAAAACAAAAAGGAAAAAAAAAACCCAAACCCCAGCCTTACTAAAGCTTTTCTCCTTCTTCTGCTTAGCAAGGAGAATGCTTAATTAAGTCATCCTTCAAGCCTTCCCACTCGCTCCAGCAATGCTCAGCATAAAGCAGATACATAACAATTTCCTTCGCAGCACAGGACATCTCTGTGGTACAATAATTTGCATATTCTAAAGGAGAAGTGAAATTGCCAGTTCTCTGTTGTTCAGCTTTATGCAGTGGGTAGGGACAGTATCAGCAGGAGGCACATTTTAGATCTGCTCAGTAATAAGGGAGAGCAGGAGGGGAAGGAGCAAGTTGCTGTTGAATCAAAGTCTGGAGCCTTCCCAAGGCAGGAGTTCTGCCTGTGTTATGCACATACTTCTTTCTCAGTTTATTTGCAAGTCTCTTTCAGCTTATTAGGTCAGTTTAACTGGCAACTGCTGCTGATTTTAAGCCCAATTATAGTCACTTCTACCTGGTGACACAGCCCCAATTCTGCAGCCAATTCTCACAGTTTAATGGCTTCAGAATTGCTAGACCCTGCTACTCGTAGCAATCAAGTTTGACCTAAGAGTCATAGTTTCCTCACATAATTTCAGCATTGTTTGTTTTCACTGGAAAACTTCCCTGTGTGCTCTCAACTACTGAGACCACTTCTCCTGTGTATTGAACTGAGATACACATTAGAGGCAAGTTTTCAACGTTGGCCCACCTTTAATAAATAAAAAAAAAGCTCAGAGACACCTTTTTGGGATAAAACTATCACTAAGGACCCTCTACTAGAATCCAGACGTTTCTAGGGAATTTGTCCCCACTCATTATTAAGTTCTCTTGGTCATAAAGGACCACAGCAGTACAATGATAAGAAATTCCTTTTTTTCTGCCGGGTCTTTCAAACAAGAAAGAACAAAAAGCTCCAATAAGCCAGTGGTCCTCAGCCCATCCAGCCCGCAATCTAGGGGAAACTGAGGAAGACTTTCAGCTCTGCACATCCCAGGTAACCTGGCTTGACACATCTGCACCACACAAAGTGTATGGGGGCAGACAACCAACCACATATGGAGGCAGACAAATAACCCAAACCCAAAGAGGGGTAAGCACGAGACCCAAGCCACTGCATTTGCAAAGAACTGCAGCAGGATGGATTTAAGAAATTGTTTGTGCTTCTATTTCCTCCCTCTGAGTATTTCTGAATTCCTCCAGGAAGCACTGTAAGTGACCTTGCAATTCACCAAAGAGAAGACTTATTCTGACCTAAAACTCCATTAAAAAGGATGAAAGTTTGTTCTAAGCAGGATGTTGTTTGTGTCAATTAGAGGAACCAGACTCATAGCAAGAGGGATACAAAAATACTGTGCAGAATGAAGATACTCAAGTGCATCTGGGTTTGAGTGTCATTATGCAAAACATACAACACAGCCCTAGATTATTCCATAGAGAACTGAAGCATTTGTCCCTGTAACAGAGCGAGCACTGCAGAACTCACCAAAAGGTACAGCAAACCCACCTGGGAAGAAGCTTTGAAGCAGGGGGATGGATGTAGCAATGTGCCAGGAGGGAGAAAATGCCACAACTACAGCTCAGAGTTATTTAGATGGTAAGCTAGACAGCGGGTCAGGTCAACACTTAACAAGCACCTGCCAGCTGGTATATAGGAAAGTTTTCCGTAACTGTTGTGATTCCACTGGATCATTAAACGTGAGCTACAGGCAGCATTCACAGGCCATCTACTCACTAAATGCCTAAGACAGAAACGATGAAGCAGGCCTGCCAGACTGACGGAGTACAGCTTGTGCCCTGAACTGAACTTGCACAAAGTTGTCAGAAAACACCAAAGAATGCTCTGCCTCAAGTCTGACTAATTAGCAGTGCCTTTGATAGAGAGCAGGAGCTCCAGTTGGAACTGCTTTGCTCCTCTGAGAATACATAATGAAGTTTTTAAGCAAGGCACAGCAGCAAACCAACCTCCAGCTAGCACAAGGTTCTACCCTGCAAGAACCTCCTCCAGCAAGGGATTTTTCTTGCAATGAAGTTAACAGTAGATTCTTGTGTAGGTCTGTGATTTATGTTTGTCTGGAAAACTTAGTTTATTTTAATACTGTAACTAAAATCAACCTCAAAGAAGGTTAGAAAACTTTTTGACTGACAGCTGTCCATCAGCTGTGTAAGGCAGGAGAACTCCAGGAAAGCGCTGTACGTGTGCATTAGCAGGAGTTAGCAGAGAAACTCTGGCTGATGAACAGCTCAGCCAAATCTTTAAGCTTGCCTCCAGCACAGGTTTCTCTTTTTCCACTTCCCCTTTGCACTTCTCAGTCTCCACTAACTGAAGACACTGTTTTACTTGCAACAATAGCTATGTGCCATTACACCAACTGTGTGGAAATCGGCATCTTTGCAAGCCACTTTTTGGGAAGAAGCCACACAGCTTTACCAGTGAAGGACCCGTCTGGTGAACCAGCAGATCACCACATTCATGTAGAGTTCCCACCACAAAGCAGGGCCAGCTGATGCACAGATCAACACAAGAAGCGTCCCAGATCAGGCACTGATATATACTGCCATCAGACACAAGAGCCAAGTCCTACAGGCTTCCAAACTGCAAGTCTCTAAAATTCAGCAAGTGGAGAATTGGAGCCTCCTTGCCAAATCCGGAGCCATGGACTTCCTGCCTACGCTGGCAAGATCACACATCAGTCTTAAAGCCCCTTTCACAGCTACTTGCCTGGGGGTAGGTACCTGCTAACAGACATGATCAGTCTCATCCTGAACCCAGGGCAGAAGAATTTCTGCTCCAAGGCAGTTTAGCAACACGCCCAGCTCAGAGCAGGGCACAGGGGTGAAAGACTACAGCAGGGAGGCACATCCAGCCAGAGGAGAGTTGTGTCACTTTATGAAGAAGCCGTTCCATCAAATCTCCTCCTCAAATACCACCTTAGCTTCCTCACAAGCACAGACAAAAGAGCCAGCCTTAAAATACCAGACCTGCACCCTGCACTCGCACTGCTGCTGATGGAAAGGCTGCCAATACTAATTTTCTACAAGTAGAAGAGGTACTGCCTGTATTGCATGAGAGAGAACAGCAGCAAACTCTGACGGCCCTGAGCTGGTGATGCTTTCTGACAGAAGGCTGCTGTCATTTTCCGCAACTTTTTCCCTAGGGTTTACCCTGAGGCAAGAGACCAGCGAAGATTTCCACTCCTCCTTACACCCCCCAAAGGTTTTCACAAAAAAAAGAAAAAAAAAAAAGAATGATCAGAGAGCCTTTGTGCATTTATAAACCCGTCAATTTTGCTAGAAGATTTAAGGCTTTAAAGAGTCCAAAACATCTATTTGAAATTTTCTATACAAACAGGTCTTTTAATATTTAAAAAAAACCAGAAATAAAATATTTAGGTTTTTCTGAAGTGAGGCATTCCAACAGCTCCAGACAAGAGCGCTGGAGGGGAGGAGGAAATCCAGTTCTTAAATTGGACAGGAACAATTTTTTTTGTTTCTTTTAATTGGCAGAGAAACAAGACTACACAGCTATTTTTCCCCCTGGCTCTGACAAGGAATAGCTGGGATGAGCAGCACAGGAAACAACAAAACCAAACTTACTCAAGTGCTGCCAGTTTCAGGTTTCTGTCCCACACCAGCTTGCCTCACAGGAAAGATTCTCCAAGCTGATGCTGCAGCAGCGTTTCACCCCACCATCCTGCCCTTCCTCTCCACCCACTCCTGTTACCTTGTATTTCACCTCCAAAACCCTCTCATGTAGAAGAGAAGCAGGTTCCCCCCCCAAAAAACACAGTTCAGACACGACAGAGGTTTTGGTAGACCTCAGCCTTTTTCACAGCTTGATTACCTTTATTTCTAGTTAGCCAGAAGAAGAGTTGGGAGGGGCAAACATTCGGCAGCACATTTCTTTCTCCTTTTCCATGTAGTCCTTGCAGCAGCTGCAAATGAGAGTACAGCATGGCATCATGGGCTGTGGACTGCCTGCCCATCAGTGCCACAAACACAAAATAAGTATTATTTTTTCTATATAAACACATTAGCCTAGTGTAAGAATGTGCTGGTATCAGAGAGACAGCACCTCCAAGCCCTTCTTTCTGCCATGTCAGGGAAGGAGAGATGGAAACACTGTGCCTCAGCCCCAGACCGTGGGTCTCTGCTCCACTGGTGACTATTAGCTAGTAGACCATTTGACTTTTGGTAGCCAGATGCTTTCTACACCAGTTTTGCAAACATATAATGATGCAGAGGAACCCCCACCTCTATCCCGTGTTCTAGTTTCTTGTCTCCTTATTTGTGCCACTTCTTGTGCGAGCTCCTTCAGCACCTAGCAAGGGACATCACCCAAGTGCCCTACTCCAGGTTATCTACCACTGACACCAAATCTACGCAGAGGATGGGTAGGAGACAGCAGAGGTTTGTGTCTTGACAAAGTAGATGACAGGGCAGATGGTTCCTCCATTCCCACTTCCCTGCCACCGTCACATTAGCATGGCAAAAGCTTCTCAGACTGCTCCATTTTAATCACTGCTTCTCCAAGCACAGTGTCCTTTGCACCCTGTGCTCTCACCTCACCGGCAACAAGGTCTCACTGGTGAGGAATCCCTGAGCCAGAGGGTGACTCAGTTTAGGCACTGTCCCAGGGATGAATGGCTGCCCACATGGTCAGCTCTCCTGCATCTCCTACCATATAAGGTCAAATGCAAAGGTTTTTGTTGCAGCACACCAGAAACAGCACAAGTGTGACGCTGGTGAATGCTCCCTCAGCTCCCTACCATCAGCACCCCTTGGGTCCAGAACCTCAAAGTGTTTCAGTCAGTGAAATCCCAGCACAGCAAGACTCTTCTGTTAAGTCTCAGACAGATGTTACCACAACTGTCCACACTGAGTAGATGAGGGATGCCCACCTAGACTGTGGATACTGCAGCAGAAAATCCAAAAGCCCCTCATTTGGAGGCGCAGACTCATGCCAGGTGTTGGAACAACCCTATTTTGTTCTGGATTTGATACAATACAAGCCTTCACATAAAAATGCCAAATCCAGCAGCAGAATTTGCACCACCAAGACCACTACAGCTGGTACCAGACACGTATTCCACAAAATCCTCAGCCTAGATTCTGTTTGTTGTTCTCCAGAGAAGTGAATTTTGCCAAGAACCTGGTTCAGCTGTTAAACAGCTGCTTTTCGAAGTTTTGTTTTAGACAGCAAAAGGTAGCTGTTGATTAACACACAACATTCCTTTTTACAAACTATAAATGTACCCAGTAAGGAAGTGAAATGCCTCTAAGACCAAGATTTTGATTCATACTCCATTTCTCAAGCATTTGCCAGATCACATTAAGAGCTTTCTCAGGTAAGGCAATTTGGCAACATTACAGGATCTAGACTGAGGTATGGCATAATTAACACCACCCGATAACATCCTCATCTATTTTATACTAATTCTACTCTTTGTCATAGTAAAAGCAAAAAATACACCAATTTTAACTGGCACTGAAGCAGAAACTCCAAGACATGTGGTTTAATGCGTACTCAGCTTACTGACACATGTGTTAGCTGTACGTGCTGCTGCCTCCAGAGTCAGAGCCAACAAGCCTGCCCACTGCTTCCCCGAAGGCAGAATGCCTTGTTGCTTCCTGGCAGCAAAACCTCAACATTATTAGCAAGATTTCTCTTTTACCTACCAACATATTTCAAATGAGTCTACAGGAACACACGAGGCTTCCAGAATCAGGATTTCTAGCACTGTACCAGGGGTCTTTGACACCACCCACTCCAAGAGGAGCTAGCCGGCCATCCAGATCTGTTTCATAACTACTTGGGCTCACCTAGCAATTTGGTAGCTACATACCCAGAGGCAGATCAGGATGAATAACAATGGTTTATTTCAGATTTCCAGACCAGCAGCTAATACTGCCTTCAAGTTCTTTGTACTTCAGAAGTAACAGAACAAGTTTGAAGACCTGGTGTTATCACAGACTATTAAAGACAACGTGGGTATACAGGACACCGGCGTGCAACGACAGCTGTCTACCAAAACACTACCTGATGAAGGCACCCAGCTCATGAGACTGGCTTTTCCAGCTGCACCAACTACTCTAACAAGAGATGCTACTGCTGCCTGTAAGCCTTTTTGCAAATGCCTCGCAGCGACACACAAAAGAAGAGGGTTTGGATTCAAGGGCTGCTTTGTCATCTCTGAAGCTGGGGACTGCATCGCCTTCTGAGCCTGCGAAAAGTGTCAGAAGTACAGCACACACTTTTGGGAACCAGCTAGCACTTTTCCCAGTTTCAGAGGGAAGAAGAGAACGAGGGCAGAGACTAGCGTTCATCATGTTTTGGTGGGGCATGACTAAAGCTGGCAGGATTGTGCTGTACTCAAGCCTGCGGGCACAGGGAAAGTTTGCCTTCGGGATTGCTCACTTATTACCTCCAAGACAGCAAGAAATTCACTTTTAAACGAGCATTAGTATTTGCAGTATTTTACACCAAAGCACTTGCAGTACAGAAGAGCTGCTGCAATTAACCAATGCATCTTAAAGGGTATGGAAAGTCATATTTACTAATCCAGAACATTACCGGCTTGAGCGCTAGCCTATTGCATTTCATTGGTTTTGAGGCTTTTCAGCAGCCCCTGTCTCCCTGTTCTAACCCTGACCCATGTAATCACAAGGAACGTAACACACACATCCCCCCAGAGAAACCATATGGAAAGAGTCAGTGCTCTCAGCTTCTCACCTATCACCTGTAACCACTGTGTCTGCAAAGCATTTGAATCAGCTGTCTCCACACTAAAAGAAACCTTCTGCATTTTCCCAAGTCGCTTACGAACCCAAAAGTTTTGTGTTTTGTTTTGGGATTTTTTTGTTGTTTTTTTTTTTTTTTTTAAAAAACGTTTTAGATATTTTTGAGCAGGTGTTCCAGCCTGTATAAGTACTCTCTCTTCCACTGGGATGGAAAGGAGTTCTCTCACCTTGCCAACTTTTTCAGCTCATTGTTAATATCCTGGTTAAATGGCTGTATGTGCTGAGCTCTGACCAGGAAATCCCGTGCTTTTTCGTATTCTGTCATGCAGAGACAAGCCTGCCATTGAAAAAAGACAGATGCATCAGAAGGTAAATATAGGCTCCCTGCCATTCTCCAGGGCTGAAACATGTGCAGCCACAAACATTTATGAGACAGACCCAGGTAGCTCAGAAATACCCCATGACAAGATCTATGTGACAGATTTAGAGAGAGAGATTTTCCAAAAGGTCAGACAAACCACTTTGCTGCAGCAGCTTAGGGGGCCTGGCCCAGAATTTAGTGGTTCCCCTTGGTTCATTCAAGGCTCTCTCCACAGCCAGTCAGACTGACATATTCCTTGATGTGGCTACCAGAGGAATTTATTTTTGCCCACCTGACCACACCTGAACAGTGCTTTGGCATTTCTTTGGTCAATCTCCAAGGCCTTCTTCCCATATATCAAAGCTCGGGCAGGACATTCCAGTTTCAGGTAAGTAAGCGAGAGATTCAGTAGCACCAGCAACTTGGAAGCATTGATCTGACACTGCTCTGTCTCATTAGAAGGGCTGCGATGGAGGATGGAGAACGCCTGAACAGACAGGAAAAAAAGAACTAGAGCACAACAAATCTGTTACAGAAAGTGAGAAATCCATCTCATCAACCAGCTACACCCATGGTTCTGTTTACCTAGGTCAGTTAAAAATAGTAATAACCAAAATTCTAAATATATTGCATAGCATTATCAGCACAACTAGCCAGCTCAGCCATTAGACTACAGGTTTAGGAACCTACCAAGGAACTTGAAAGCAGCAGAATAAAAATACTACACCCAGATTTTAAGGCCAAAGACAGAAGAGAAATCCTACAGGGAGACAGGGAATTTACATTATTTTTATTACAAAGGAATACCAAGAAAAAGCAACCCTTAATGGAAGGAAGAAAAAATCTCACCTAAACCTCACTACTTCTGAAACAAAGGCAAGTGCATTCCAGTTTGGGAACAAGTGAGTATTTTCCTGCCCAGAGAGGTTGTGAAGTCTCTGTCCTTGGAGGCATTCAAAGCCTGAATGGACACAGCCCTGGGAAGCCTCCTGCTGTGGCTGACCTCTCTTCAGCAGGGAGCTGGACTAGAGAACCTCCGGAGGTTCCTACCAACCTCAAGTACTGTGTGGTTCCCAACTGGAAGGCTGAAAGCAGAGTGCTCAGGATGCCAGCGATATCTGTTTCCAGATCGTGGGGATTCTAGACTACTTCTCAAATCGTTAACTAGCATGCTTTACAAGGCCATGCTGTATTGTAACATCTCCCAGCAGAAGCCGGCCTGAAAGGCTCCAGTTTAGCAGTCAGCCACGCAAACTACTCAGGGCTCACAGAGCCGCCAAGATGTACTCTTCCATCTCAGCTTGTTCCATAGACAACAAGCCTGAAAGAAAAGGGTTCTGTCTATTTCTGCCAACCCTTCTCCTCCATCATTTACCATTGCCACTCACACAAAAGCAGGTGTTTAAAATCTGTCCTTAAATAACAAACTATGCCTGGAAAATATAATGAAGTTACTTGATCTCTAAATTGTACTTGTTACGGTGAGCTAGCACTTAATAATCATTGCTTTCACAGCTTTTCACAATGGAAAACGCTTTTTTTTTTTTTCTGGTGTCATACCCTTTTGTATCTGTCTTTGGCACCCTCAAAGTGCTGCTTACGGTAGAGGTAGTTGCCAAACTCTCTCTCCGTGTCTGCCACTTTCAACACCTTTTGTAGCGGAAATGTATCCTGCTGCTCCTGTGTAAAGAAATACCCAAATTTCAGCTCAAACAAGAGAACACAAGCAGAGAGCTCAGACAGGAGAGTCCTGCACAGTTCCCTTCTATTCACAGAGGAGGAGCCAGGCCATTGCCAAAGCCCCCGCAGCGTCCAGCCAGGCCACCACCATGTGGCATTTCCCTTCACCAGGCTAAAACATCCCACCATTCTTGTGCTGATAACTCCTGCTGAAGCGTGCTACCAACCAGGCTGGGAAGCTCACCAGGACAAGACGGACTCCAGGGCGGGGGGGGGAAGGCAGAAATTTGTTCTTAAATTCTGCCCAACTCTCACCTGCTTAGCACAGAGCAGAGAGTTAGCACAAATGCTACTGCTGGCACAGAAGGTGAAGCTGATTCATGGCTCAACATCACCCATGGTGGCTGCCTCAGGCCAGCTCTGGGATCAGCCTGACACCCACAGAAGATATCAACCCAGCAAAACAAACAAAAAAAAATAATAAAAAAGATAAAAATTCAGAGACAGGTTTTCTCCTGGGTTTCCAAGTTTGAACCAGCTCAGAGAGAGGTCAGTTAGCCAGAAAGGGTGGACAAGTGGCAAGAAGGGGAGTAAGCCCTCTTGCAACAAGTAGTGTTTGCTCGCAGGGCTATGTGCAGACAAAGTAGGCTGTGCTGCAGCAGGAGGGAATGAGGGCCTCCCCTACCAGTGCTGCTGCCTGTGCCCCACTCACTGACCCACAACCACAGACCAAAGCCCTTTACATGAAAAGGGGGAATTAACAATAACACCGTAACTCACCAGGGAGGAAAGGGAACAGTGAAGGAGCACTTGGGAGAGCAGCCAAGAAGCAGAGACAAAGGGGAGGGGGGCACTTGAACGCTGCAGACTGAACAGGATTTTTACGGACAAGCTCATTACTGTTCCTTCAGAGAAATTCCTGGAAGCTGGTGCCCTCTAGTGAAACCATGAGGTTTCTCATAAAGCTAAAAATAAATGGAAGTTGTTTCACTGGCTCCAGCACATGGGAGCAAACAAAGGCAGCACCCAGCTTCTACCTGTGCACAGGAGTGCAAACAGAGCAAGGTGTGCAGGGGCAGCATTAGAGGGCATGTGTTTGTATCGGAGTGCAGCTAGCAGCCTAGGGTCTGGATAACTGCACCGGTAATTAAGCTAAACATATGTAATACATGAGCAACAGCAACTGGAAGGAAAGACAACAAAGGTTTAGCCTCCAGATTTAGGTCTCAAACCTTATTAAGGCAACTCACAGCAGTCAACTCCAAGAATGTGTCAGATTCATCCGAGTCTAGGAAGTCCAGCACCTCCACTTCAAACATGACTGTAGCATTCGGGGGAATGAGAGGAGGACAGCCCTGCTGCCCATAGGCGTAATCTGGTCTGAAGACAAATCTCGCCACCTCTCCCTTCTTCATTGTCAGCAGGCCAATTTCCAGGCCCACCAGGGTAATGTCTGTCGCAACAAGAAATGGAAAGCCATGAGAATCACAAACCTGGAAACCCCCTCAGACTCCAAACAACAATTCCTCCAAAAGCCTGGAGGAAAACATCCTTCATAGCTCATATCTCAGCAACTGCAATGGTCAGCTGCCCCCTGTTATGGCTTATTAAGGCAGTCTGCTGTGGGACCAAGCACACAGTAAACAGCGACATCTCCTCTCAGGTGATTTAAAAACACCAAGACCAGCAGGCTTTTCAGGGCAGGCAGCAAGCAGCCCTGCTACCATGAACAGCATGGGCACTGCTGCTCACTCCCACAGTCAAGTGGGGCAGAGGGTGATCAGGTCCAGACTGACCATCACCTGTGCGAAGCAGGAGGCTTTTAGACTCTATTAACAAATTTTAAAGGTTTCAAATAACCTAAAGATACTAAACAGCATTTAAATTGTCATGTCTTAATGGGCTGGTCTTTATAACCCTGAGTCCCAGGACAAACTTTTTGGCTCAAACCTACCTTTTCCAAGTTTCATCAGCCTAGGAGACTTGCTGTAGCCGCTTGTGCAGAAGGGCTCATCCCTGTGTTCCAGGTACCCAGAGTACTTCACTGCAGCCCAAAGCAAGAAGCAGGGAGAAGAGAAAAGCAAAAGTATGATTTCATATTCAGCAACAGTACCATTGGAAGCACACCAGGAATTGGTTTTGCAACATCATCCTTTTATCCTGCTTTTCTTCCTTCCTTCTGCTGTAGAACAGCAGAGTCAGCACAAACTACCTTGTCTTTGTACCGAAAACCTGGTCACATCCAAGCAGCCAAGTGGTGTTGATTATGTTTTAACATCAACACCAAATAAAACAGCTGCTTCACAGTCTTGATGACTTTCTAATCAAGAGATGTAATTTTGTGTTTCTAAGAATTGGAATGGAAACTTCAGCTGCAGAGATTAAAATGGTCCAATTATCTGCAGAAATACATAACTGAGCCTTTCCCAACCAAAGCTGCAGCTCTAGAAAGAGAAACAAAAGGGGAAATGTATGCTTCCAAGCTCGACCACTTTCCATGGAGCTGTAGAGCTAACTCCATCACTCACTCAGAAAACCCCAGTGTGCTTCCCTTGACATGGCACCAGGTCCTTGCACTTCAAGAACCACTTTCAGCTTCAAACTTCTCTGTACTGTAAACACAAGCGGGACCTGGAAATCCTGCTTTTCTCAAGGTCAGGATGCCCTTTCATTTAATCTGTCAGCCACAAGAAGTTAAACAGAGTATCCCAAGTGCTAAAACACTGATAAGGGAGAGCAGTCTCTGAACCAGACAGACATACTACTGTATAATATAAGAACTTTTAAGTTCTCGTTCTAATCTCATGCTGAAACCCAAAGCACTCAGGTTTGCCAGCCACCAGTACCTCAACATCAGAGGCTCAGGGGATCTTTTACAAGAGGTTCTGCCCTCTCCACTTCCCCCAGCGCACACTTCAGGCCCAGCCGCACAGACCAAAGCAAGGACCTTGCACTGAGATGTAAATGACATAGAGAAGCACAAGACCCCAACTTCAGTCTATGCTTCCAAGGATTTTAGGTTTTCTTAGTCTTGCTAACCACGGATTAAATTTAACAGTTGCCATTTATAAAAAAAAGCTGCTCAGGAGATGATCAGTGGAGCCTGTAGGCTTGTACCCACGAAGCAGGGCATCACATTACTACAGAGCACCCCAAAGCCCTGGGGAGCAGAGCTGTGAGCTTGCGCAGCACCTGCAGCAGGATGCCTGGCTGGCAGCACAGAGCCCTGGCAAAGGTGTAAAAGTCAGGCCGGGCCCTGTGATAGGAGGGGGGGAGGGGGTGCATGTGCCCAGCTGCTGCCACATGGCCTCCCACAGCCCACAGGGCGCACACAAGCCCCTGGGCCTGCCCAGCAGTACCTGCCACTGAGGCTCCCGG